CACATGCAGGGAGTAGGGATTAGTGAGCGGGCCTACATAAGCTACTTTTGCCGAAAAAATAAGCAAAAAAGCTGCATTTAAGAGATAAGAGCTATTTGAATAAATAGGCAGGCGTGAGTTTGTGACAGGTCAGGAAATAGTGGGATCAATACCTTAATATTTTTTATTAAGGTATATTTCAGCATTCCAGTATTCCAGCCTATTTCTGCACCACGCCATCGATTCACACTAGTTACAACCACAAAAGCGAATTTTGTTTACTATTACAATATACAATTAGTTCTACAAATTTCCTCCACTGCCTGTCCTTTTTCCCCGCCCACAAATTCCCTTATCACACCGGTTCCGTAAGACAAAATGTTGGGGTTTAGGGTACATAAAGTCCACTTCTTAAAATACCTTTGTTGATAGGAAATGTTCATCGCCCAAAGGCAAACTCAACCATCCAAATTGTCGATTCTCCTCCAACAATAAATATGTTATTCATATATCGACAAGAGGAACTCCGCACATACGATTTCAGACTCACGATATGATTTGGTCTTTTCGAATGGTGATTATGGCTGGAGTAATCACCCCTGTTCTATTACCACGGTTACCTTTATTTCCCGATCGATTATGAACTGCAGAAACTTCTGTGGTTAATAGGAAATGTGAGTTGTTGGGAAGTGTTGCCTCATCAGACTCCCATAATAGTCTGCTTTCTCTCACTCTCACCTGGCCTCCAGCAGGCACATTCCCTACTAAATAAGTCATTTGAAAACCAAAAATAGTTGCTGCGTAGGTCACATATGAGGTTGGTTTCCTGCTTCTTCTAGAGAACTGGAAAGGTCGGTCACGCATGAGTGCATGCATACAAGACCACACCCACGAGTCGTCGTCTGCATACGGGACGTACGATTTAAACTAGTGCGCAAAATGAGGCTGTTTCATTGTGCTCCATCGCTCTGGCTAAAATCGCGTGCCCAGTGACTTAACTGAATTAACGCAGACTTGGTTTTAAAAGGCGCAAGTATCATTTTCGACGCAGGACGCCATGCCTCTCGGCAGCCGACTTGAACACGGAGTAAACCATCTGTGCACAGATAGGGTGTGTATGTTGTCCAGCAGGGAATTGCAGATTTTAAATGTACTAAAATTATCAATCTTTACTCTTACCTCTAAACAGTAAATCTGAGTGCACATTATCACATGAAAAGGGTAAAATTAGCGTCCCGATTTCATTTAACTTTTGGCTAGAAAAAATACTTCAAGCAAGCTATAGTTTATGCCCGCTGAAAGTTATTTGTTTGACAATCACCTTGTGTATTTTTGGCAGTTTGTGCCGCTTTAAACTCTTCTCTTGCATCTGTAATTTTTGTAGGAATAGACTTATTCAGAAGAAGAAGAAGAAGAAGAAGAAGAGGAAGAAGAAGATGCGATCACTGGAACAAGAGTTTTAGTTGTCTGACGTTTCGGATTCCCTCGGGAATCCTTAATCATAGTTGATGATAGCATGGTCATGGTCATGCGCAGATGAGTTGGATACATGCACAGGCTGCACGGTATTTATAGTTCAAAGTGGTCATCCGCGGTGTGTGAGAATTGTTCATTTCTGTAGCCACCGCTTGCGTCTTAATTGATGCGGTACTGGCTTGACACTTCAATTACTCACTTCTGTAGCCACCGCTTGGGTCTAAATTAATGCGGTACTGGCTTGACA